CCTCAACAAACAAAAAGCAAATAATCCAATTAGAAAATGGGCAGAGGAGCTGAATAGACAGTTCTCCAAAGAAGAAATTCAGATGGCCAACAGACACATGAAAAGATGCTCCACATCACTAGTCATCAGAGAAATGCAAACTAAAACCACAATGAGATATCACCTCACACCAGTAAGGATCGCCACCATCCAAAAGACAAACAACAACAAATCCTGGAGAGGTTGTGGAGAAAGGGGAACCCTCCTACACTGCTGGTGGGAATGTAAATTAGTTCAACCATTGTGGAAAGCAGTATGGAGGTTCCTCAAAAAGCTCAAAATAGACATACCATTTGACCCAAGAATTCTACTTCTAGGAATTTGTCCTAAGAATGCAGCAGCCCAGTTTGAAAAAGACAGATGCACCCCTATAGCCAAGAAATGGAAGCAACCTAAATGTCCATCAGTAGATGAATGGATAAAGAAGATGTGGTATATATATACAATGTAATATTATTCAGCCATAAGAAAACAAATCCTACCATTTGCAACAACATGGATGGAGCTAGAGGGTATTATGCTCAGTGAAATAAGCCAGGCGGAGAAAGACAAGTATCAAATGATTTCACTCATATGTGTAGTATAAGAATAAAGAAAAACTGAAGGAACAAAATGGCAGCAGAATCACAGAACCCAAGTATGGACTAACAGTTACCAAAGGGAAAGGGACTGGGGAGAATGGGTGAGAAGGGAGCGATAAGGGCAGGAAAAAAGAAAGGGGGTACTACGAATAGCATGTATAATTAGCATGTTGGGGGGGATGGGGAGGGCTGTGCAATACAGTGAAGACAAGTAGTGATTCTGCAGCATGATACTACGCTGATGGACAGTGACTGTAATGGCGTGTGTGTCAGGGACTTGGTGAAGGGGGAAGCCTAGTAAACATAATGTTCTTCATGTAATTGTAGATTAATGATAACAAAATACTATAAAATAAAATAAAATAAATTATTAAGAAAAACATAGACAGACAGACAGATACACACACACACACACACACGCGCGCACACACACACACACTCCAGAGATAGCTACTCACTTAATGGAAAAAGACTCTCCAGTCATTTTGCCTGATATGGGGTCCAGAAATGCAAGCTTCAAGCAGCATAGTGTAGGTGGTCCAACCTCATATTTGATTCCTACAATCTTAACAAATTCTTGTTCCTGTTCATAAGAATACCAATAAATTATTAGTTTCAATATAAATAATGCCCTAACATTTACATATTATTTTACAATTATTCCAACAACTTAAAAATTATCTGAATACTCACCAAATGTTAGGGCATTCCACTAAGTGTTAAAAGTACTATAAAACATGGTTCTTGACCCTTAGCAAGGGGCTGTAGCTTAGTGCAGGATTTTAAACCAAGGATACGCAGCAGAATCCCCTTCGGAATCTTTTTAAAATCCATGTTCCTAAACCCTACCTCTTAGAATTGAATTCAGTAGGTCTGGGGTACAGCTTAGTCATATGTTATTTTGAAAAACACTCCCCAGGGGATTATGATACTCTGCCTAGTTAAGAATCACATTCCTCCAGCAGAAATACAATATATAAGTACAAAAGTCGACATGCATATGTACCTTTGGGGGAAGGACTTAATTTTTAAATGCCTACAATATTATTTTACAAGGCACCCTTATACATTGACTACAGGTCACACTTAACAGATGACAAAACTGAGCCTCATGGGTACAATCACTTGCTTAGAGTTATACATGAGTATATAGTAGAGCTGGGATTGAAATTTAGGTCTTATTCCAAAGCCCAGGCTCTTGTACCATACATATGCTATCTCCCACAATTTCCCAGAACCACAGAGTTAGAATTTAAAATGAGACATCATACATTTTATTTCATTCCCCTTATTCTTGAAACAATTTCAACCTTCACCCGATTCAGAAAAGATGTAGTATCACTATCTCCCAGGAGATGATTATGTAAAGCTTACTTGATAAGATACTTTAGCCCCTTACAACCTTAATACAATTTTTTACAAGTTTCTAAATTTTTATTTCAATAAATACACACATCCTCTCTTGTATACTTCTTGCTAAGTATCATCACACAACAACCCTTCATTTATCTAGAAAACCACTGTAAAATTGCTCTTTAGACTACTGTTCTCCAAGCAGGAAAAACAAAAGAACAAAAGATACATAAACCCAAGTAGAAATGATGGTGTGTGTACACCTATGCCTGTTTGTATGTATATAAATATATATGAATAAGTGAATATATATTTATATAGTCAAAAAATACTCCTCTAAAAATATACATATCTACTTCACTCAATACCATGTAGCTACATAGGTTTATATCAAAAGAGATAGTCCATAAAGCACCACAAAGTTCTGAGCTTCTTGGAATTTATGAATATATCCTAAAGCTGCAAAAACCATGAAGCTGTTTGTAGTCCACACATAGGCAGTTCATAGAGCATACAGAATATATAAAGCTACTGTGGGAAATATCCACACCTGAGAACTAGTGCTTTGCTCCAATATATATAATACATAAGAGGACCTGAAGCTTGAAGGAAATTAGGTCAAATACAAGCTAGTAGGTGGCATACAAATTAAAGAAAACATAAAATGTGAACCATAACACTCAGCTATACAAGAGTATGGTGTAACACCTTATTTTGGATACACAATCTACAGTGAAATAGCATGAAACAGAAGAAGCCTATGGAAAGTACCTTAATTACAAAGCTCCTTCAGTTACATACCTTATGAATTTGGCAAACTTACCCTGAGATCCATTTTATTCCATGGCTGTTTTTGTATATTAACACTGTATATTTTTGACTTCCTTACAGCCCGCACATAAGCTTCATGTCCTTGCCTAAAATATATAAGCTAAAACAAAAAACATGAGGTATTAAACAGCATCATCCATTTAACAACTCTGTATATCCCCATTATATGTAGTACAAATGTCCTCTTTTGTTTACAACAAACATAAAAATGAAATTTTGATAAAATTTATACAATAAAGGTACTTGCCAGCATCAAATTAATATTCATTCACTACTCATGCTTATGAGTATGAACCCTACATGAAGTATTGCATAATATAAATGCTGTACCCATAGTCCTTTTCCCCAGAGCAGCTTCATAAATTTCTGAAGAAACAAAGCCTAGTGACAAATGTGCACAAAACTAGTCATACTTTGAAGTGCTACATTTCAAATTGTAATCAACAATCTAAATAACAATATATATTTTTTTCTAACCACAGCCTAGTAAACAGAGTAATTTACAGACAAACTATTAAAAAGTTTCCTTCAACAATTTTAAAGTGGTGGTAGAAACAGAAGAAAGTAACATGAAAAAAAAGACCTAAAAAATACCTAAAAATACAAGTAGAAAACTAAAAAGGTATGAATAGTACTATATAAACATAATTGTAGGGATAAAAAAAAGTCAGTATTAAGCATGTTATTCAGATATCCCTTATTACATATTTATTCCTGTACTCAAATATTGATTGAACATATATGTACAAAGCAGTGGGTACTATGGTAACACATCCAAATAAAATCTTTTCCCTCTAGGATATATATAAGAAATGTATATATATGTATGAGTGTAATACAAGGCAGAAGTTAATATGTAACATAAAAAGGAAAAATAACTTAGGTGGGAATGCTCATGATGAAGGAGTCACAGACAAATGAAAGTAAGGATAATATCCCAGAGTAGTTGGCATTTAAGTCAGACCTTGAAGAATAAGCATTTTGAGAGGCAATGATCTGTGGGTAGGAGTATTCCAGGCAAAACAATGAGAGCTTAACACATAAAGTAAAAAGTAATGGTGTCACTTAAGACACTGATTATGTAAAAAGTATGAGTTTTACAAGTCCTTTAAAAACATGTATGAGTTTTACAAGTCCTTTAAAAACATGAATTCACATATTTGACTGTCTGATTCACTTACACACCTTCTCTATTACTTGTACAATGGTCACTACATAATACACATTACTCTTGAAGGATATAAGCAGGTGCTAAGTTTAATAAAATAGAGGGAAAGTGATTCTACCAAGGTAAATACGGTCCTATAGAAAAGAGAGGAGTCTCATCAGATCACAGATATACAGATCATTGTTTTGTTCTGTCATGTTTCTAAGATTAATTCAAAAGCACTCCTTTTAAGACTCCATAAAAACAGGCAATAAATACAAGAAAAGATAATTTTGGATATGCCTCCCCAAAATAAGTTTTTTTTAAATTTAGCATTCATCAGAACCATGTTCTCCTAAATTAACCACACAATCATTGATCAAAAGTCTAATACTTACAAGACACATTTATAAAAGGAAACATTTTAAGTATATCAAAAGATAATCAGCAAGTAATAGCTTGTTCATAAGGCTACTTGATAGCTACCTCTGGTACAAGATATCTAGAACAGGCAATTAGAGAAAAGTTTGATGAAATTTTTATTGGTCCTAATAATTACTTGCAAGGTTTTCTACTTCTTTTACTGTGATGAGAATATTACATTTCTACTATTAGTCTTAAATTAAAAAGTGCGAATCAGTACTTAATCACTCAAAAATGAATGATTAATATGCTAGAGATTATACAATCCAGCTAGAGCTCAAATAGTATGTTACCATGATTTTCATTAAGAAAATGAAATTTTTTTCACTGGATATAATGTAAATCAATTTTTGACTCACAAATCATAAATATGGCTATGTTATTCAATCATATACTCAGTAGGAAGGCCTTGTTTGTGAAATGACCTTCTCCTAATCATGAAAGGGGTAATTATCCTCTAGTATACTTACTACTATGTTAAGCATGAGCATTTTTCTTTAACATTATCAGGATTTGAATTAGGTCACAAAATACAACTCAATTCTACTAAGTGACAATTAAAATAAAAATAGACTATTATTTTCATAACTTCAAAGGCCAATCAATTTATCTCATGGCTCACTGAGCATCTACTATACTGAAGACTCTGTGCCAAGTGCTACAAAGGATACAAAGATTAATAGTTTTAAGTTCAGTCACTTTCTACAAGAAATACATAACTGAGCATAGCAGCCAAGACAGTGTATATATAACTATAATAGAATTGAAAATATAAATGCTCTAAGACTGATTTAAGTGAGTCTCTTGAGATTTTAAGAGAAAAAGGTTAAAACAGATAAAAATTACCTCATCTCCCATTTGTGGGACAAAGGGGGAACGTCGTGGTATGGTATCTAAGATCCACTGAGGGGCAAACCATTCTTCACTGGGTTCACCTGCCATAGAAACTAGTCCTCCTTTCTAAAATATAGTTTACAAATATATAAATCATAAATACATGAACAGTAGTATAAAAAAAAAATACATAGAGAATGTGAAAAACATCAGGTTATGCTAAACCTAAAATATACAAATTTAAACATTTTCCTTTATCAGTTATGTACAACTTTTGTACCAATAAAATATTCAAGTGAGTTATTTAACATGTTGCTCAATTTTGGCTGATAGATTATAATATGACATTATATACTATCTAAAACCGACAAATATTATTCTTCATATCCCTAGAATACCATATGAATTCAAATAAAAGTAACACAATAACTTTTTGCCAATAAAATTGTGACAATCAAGGTAATTCTGTCTATTAAAGCAGGCAAAAAAATATATTAAAATACATTTTAAATTAATATTCAAGAACTATGCTAAATCTTTACATCATTGAAATGAAACTATAGTGGGAAAAAGAAATCATCATTGTGATAAAATAAGAACAAATAAGGAAATGGAAAAAGCTCTACATGATTTATCATATCCTTCCCATTTTATAAGTCAAAAGTACATAGAAATTTATGACTAGTGACATGACACAAATACTATTTTTAAACTAAAAGTAGATTATTATTTAAAACTCTACCATATTTTAACAATTGTCAATATGTTAAATTTAATAACAAAATAATAATGAAGATATTTCTACTTTGGATAACAGAAAAACTTCAAAAATTGTTTGCATTTTAAAGTCATTTTAAACACTTTTACTTAGTTTCTTAGATGGAATTTTATTTTTAGAGAAAACTCAGTGTTACTGTTAAATATTCAAGTATCAAATGTAAAAAACAAGGAAATAGCTTGTAAACTTACATACCTTCTTTCTAGTCTGTTTAGGTTTCTTTTGCCTTTCTTCTAGAGACTTCAAATTCTCCTCCTCAGAGCTGCTCCATATTTTCCGTGTGGTCTGTCTGGTTTGTCTTTTTGGAGGTTGCAAATTTATTCCAGCATCTGCTGTCCAATCAGAATATTCACTTGATGAATCGCTGTCAATAAATCAAAATTATGAGTATGTTAAATTGAGAAAAGGAATAGTTTCACCTCATGATTGATGGAAGATAATCCTTTTGTAATCAAACACTATTATAAATGACATAGTTGGATTTGTTCTACCAGAGAGAAAAAACATCAATACAAAATTTGATGGTTACCAAAGTGATTTTAGTGCAATGTTTCTCGGATTAAGTACAATGCTTAGTTTCCCAAAACAGGGTTTAAAATTCAAATTTCTTGTCTAAATCACAAAATTTCTTTAAGTAAAGATGCTCCTTATCCCTGAAAATGGTTAAATGCAGTTGTTTTAAAACTGAAATAAATACATATAGCCTACCAAGATGTAGAATCTTGGATTTACCAAGGATCTAATTTCACAGATGAGGGAACTTAAGCCCATAATAACATGCCCCAAAAGATACTGGCACATCCAGAATAAAACAAAAGTACGGGGTTTCCAACCCCGTACTCTTGCTACTATAAAATACTATTTTAACTCTGGTTTTACCAAATTCTTACCAGAATATTTCACATTAAAACTGTGAAATAATTTTAACCAAATCAAAACTACTAAAACTACCTGGAAGAACTTTCACTTTGCCATTCAATAACAGTATCCTCCAAAGAAGCATCACTTGTGCCAACTGTTTCACCCTCCTGCAACAAAGAGACAGCAACTGAGATGTATGATTATTAATTAGCATGTTCTTAATTAGCACACATTATCTTTTCTATAACACTTTTTGCATTCCAATCCCCCCAAAAATGTTCTCATTAAAACGCACAAAATCATTAAATATATCTATAATCACAACTAAGCCTACCAGGTATTTAAAAATTTCTAGCATCTACACTTATTGATATGACACATTTTATTATTTCAAAGTCTGAACACACTCCTTAACATTCCCCAATATAGCCCCCTTTAATGTTAAAACCATTGTTTAAAAATTATCTATATGCTGCTACCAAATTAATATACTCTCCATAAAAAATAATCTTTTTATTATGTAAAATTTCAAACACCCACCTAGATTGAATGGATAACACCATATGTACACAATCTCCAGTTTAATCAATAACTCACTGTTGGTCTTGTTTTATCTGCATTCTCACTGCCTGCCTTAAACTCCAGGGATTATTTTGAAGCAAATCCGGACAAAAAAAAGTTTTAACTATAAATATTTATTAACACTAGAATTCTTTTTGAAAAACACAACCACAATACTATTATTAAGTTAAAAAGGTAGTATCAGTTCCTGAATAGTGATCATTCTATTCAGATCAAGATTTTCATGGCTGGGGGAGAGAAGGAGGGGTCATCATTGATAATCATGAATTGTGGGAGAAGAATGGGGATAACATACATTGTCAATGCATAATTAAACCCTCATTATTCACTTAACAACTACAGTTGTTATGAAAACAAAAGGAAAAGACTGGAGAAGAAAGTAACATGAAGAAAAGAACTGCTATATGCTTTATTCCATTATCAAGAAAAAGATAAATCTGAGAAAAATCATCACTCAGTGATCTCCATGGTCAATGAAGTCAACAGTAACAGAAAAGGTGTATATTCTGCTGATGATACAGTCAACTAGTTCTGGGACTGCATAACTAGCTGTCATTGTTTATATTTTAGTCCATTTGTATACAAATTTCTTCTCACTCTGTTTTCTCACTGTCCCAAAGCTAAACTTTTGCTGACATGTTTGATAATACCTTAACTAAGATAGTATCTTAGGCATAAATCAGGAATTCAAAATAATGCTCAAGTCTGCCTTTTAAATGCCTTATTAATGAATAATCCTCTTACAAGAATAAAAACTAAAGTTATTTTCTATTAAAAAGACCCTTAAACTCAAAATGATGATATTAACTAGGAAACAAAAAAAATTACATAAAGTAAACAACAACAGGTATCTAACCTCTGAGGAACTTTCTGAGTCTTCCTGTACACCTATATTTTGACATGATGTTTGTGAATTATGCTCTATGTTGGACCGTGTTTGGTAAGTATGCTGACGCTTACGCTGTGTCCTTCGTAAAGAGCGCCCACAGCTAGGCGGATAATCATTCTGTAAAACAGAAGGAAAAATATTTTTTAAAATGAAGGGTTCAGTAAACACACAAATGAACATATCTATAAAGCAAACCAATTGAACACAGGTGGGACAGGGGTGGAGGTAAGGGATAGAAATAAATCCCCCAAAAGAGAACACAAGATAAAACTATATTTATATCTATTTAACCCACCTTTTAAATAATATAGATTACTTTCCTATTTTGAAATTTTTGTGATCAAATTAAAGACAGTGCTCAAAGTTTGGGCTGTAAGAATTTGCCCACTCAGAATTTACATATATTAGTTAGAATTTATTACAAGATAAGTAAGACATCCATATAATATTGTTAGAGTAGGTAGATAGCCAGACAAAAGCAGGGAAGGGAGATGGGGACTTTAGCTATTGTTTATATTTGGCTGGTTGTATACATTCTATACATTGTGTGTAAACTGTTCTTACAGGATTTGGAGAGTGAAAATGTAGATAACAGACCAGCCAAAACTGGCTAGTTTCAAGACGGAGGAAAAGTTAACCCAAACTTCACCTTCAACTTCATTATTTTCTGACTACCATGACATTAGCATTGTGGTTTTGACCCCCACCTGGCAGGGGATGACTGCCATGACAGTTCTGATAAGAACCAAATATAACAAAAAACTTCCCTGCCCAGTGAGAGGGTGAAACAAGCCCAAATTCTGAGAAGACTCCACCTGTTAAACCTACCCCCACTTAGTGAATATTTATCTCCCCTCTACATAAAACAGCTCCCTATTGTTTCCTTGAGGCAACTCCTTCTGGGGTCAGCCTGCACTCAACTTTCAAGCATGTAGTTTGTCTTTTCTTTAAACTCTTATTTTCCATTAAACTCCTAAAACTCAACCACTTTTGTGCCATCCTTCAATTTTTTCTTGTGGCAAGACCATGAACCCATCTCCAGTACCAATGTCTATGTGTATATAATTCTTAATATATATTTCTTTATTTCTACAAAAAACTACATATAGTAAATAGGTAAAAACAAAGATATAATTTTTAACAACTAAAATGTAAAGCAAAAACTACTTTATTCTACCCTATATAAAATATTATTGTATACCATATGTCAAAGCTATAACCATAATAAGTCATCAGGAATAAACAAATTTAAAAGTTTCATATATCAGTATCAAGGTCCAGTTGCTTATTTAAAATATAAATGTTTCTTATTTTCAATATAAATAAAAATGTTTACAGACCCAACTACCCTGTTCACTAGTCTCAGACAACTCTGATATTTGGTGAATCAACCTAGCAGGAAAGGAATACAAACCATGGATCTGATTCATTCAAAACCTCTAAGAAAATAATCTTACCACAGAACATCAAATAAGTTAACAAAACTTCAATCAAAATTAAGAAAGAGGGAATCAAAATGATCTAAGAATATCTGGAGATAGTCATATGGTAATTACCTAAAATTGTATTTCTTAATACCAAAAAAAAAACATTTAAAATTTGGTCTCCAGTGTGCAGATTTCTATAATAAAATTAAAATTGTCCTACATTTCCCAAGTTACCATCGGCTTCAGAAGTCATGGCTAGATCTGGGAACAAAACTATACATTCTTATGCCACTAGTTTCTTTAACTTCAGAATATTAGCAAGGGGCTTACCATGTACCTAATGTAATATAGGAATCTCACTCCCTGCTTAGCCGTTTCTGCTGGGGATATGAATCTTGGCCAATGTATACATCAGACTTTGCTCCTACATGATTAGGACAGGAGTAAGCAAAGCTTTTTCTATGAAGGGCCAGAGTGTAAATATTTTTGGCTTGGTACATCATATGATTTCTGTTGCAATTACTGAACTCTGTATAGTGTACAAGCAGCCACAGACAATACATAAATGAATAAGAATGGCTGTATTCCAATAAAACTTGTTAGCAAAAACAGGCAGTAAACAAAATTAAGCCCATGAAAAGTAGTTTGCTAACATTTGATCTAGGGTATCTGAGCATTCGCTTTACACTGTGATTAGTAATTATACACCAATGTTTAGGTTCTATTTTAACCATATGAACATGGTATTATAATACAAATAACCTATACCTACAAGAGTCACATTTCTAGATTTTTGCGACATCCTTTACTTTGTGTAATTTTATCTGTATTAACAATAACCATATGTCTCAATTTGGGGTTTAAAAAAATAGGATCCCTACATGCAAACACCTAAAAAAGTAGTGCTTTACAACCCTGAGAAAGAAGAACAAAGCTCGGGGTTTTACACTCCCTGCCTTCAAGCTCTACTACAAAGCCACAGTAATCAAAACAATTTGGTACTGGCACAAGAACACACCCATAGATCAATGGAACAGAATACACAGCCCAGATATAAAGCCACACATACATGGCCAATTAACATACGATAAAGAGGCCACAGATATACAATGGGGAAATGACAGTCTCTTCAACAACTAATGTTGGCAAAACTGGACAGCTACAAGTAAGAAAATGAAACTGGATTACTGTCCAACTCCATAAACAAAAGTAAACTCAAAATGCATCAAAGACCTGAATGTAAGTCATGAAACCATAAAACTCTTAGAAGAAAACATAGGCAAAAGTCTCCTGAATGTAAACATGAGCACTTTTCCTGAACACATCTCCTCGGGCAAAGGAAACAAAATTAAGTATTAACAAGTGGGATGGCATCAAACTTAAAAGCTTCTGTACAGCAAAGAACTTCATCAGAACAAACAGCATCCTACAGTATGGGAGAATATATTTGTAAATGATTTATGTGATAAGGTGTTAACACCCAAAATATATAAAGAACTCAGATGCCTCAACACCCAAAATACAAATAATTCGATTAAAAAATGGAGACAGTGACCACAGGAAGATGGCGGCATGAGTAGTTCAGAGGAAATCTCCTCCCCAAAACATATATATTTATGAAAATACAATAAATACAACTTTTCCTAAAAGAGACACCAGTGGATGCAGTCTAACAGCCAGGATACATCTACATCTGCGAGAACTCACCATCACATGAAGGGGGTAAGATACAAGCCGCGGCCAGGCGGGACCTGAACATTCCCCCACCTAGGAACGGGGAGGGAGTGAAAGCCCAGGACTGCTAAACAACCAGATCTAGAAATCCGCACCCCGAACGCAGACACAAGGTGCATGGGGTACTGGATTTTAAAGAAATGGAAAAGCAAAACCTGTGGGCATGTCCCGGCAATCGGCGTCCCTGAGACAAAAGAAAAGCAACTGCTTTCTGCAAGTCTTAAAGGGACATGGACCCCATAGCTGGATGAAGTTCTCCCGGTGGCTGGGAATACCGGGGAAACTAAGGCACCCTAAATGGAGGCAGGGCAGCTCTGAAGTCCCTCACAACACTAAGCAGCCTGCCAGTCATTCCTCCAACTGGCGCGGACCCCAACACACGGGCACAGTAGCAGGAGAGTGCCAGCACGTGCAGGGGACAGCAGCGCTGGAAGGAACCGAGAGCAGATCCTTGTGCTGCAGGAGAGTCCTATGCTAGCCCTCAGCGGCGCAACCAAACAGCGTGGACGCGGCTCGCACACACTGGCGGCAGTGAAGCCAGAGCCCGGTAGAAGTCTGCATGAAAGAGCCCCGTGTGCACCTGCCGTGGAGCCAGAGGGAGCAGGCGCACTCCCCGCAGCTGACCGGAATCCTAGCCCAACGCACAGCTGCCAGGGCCAGACCCAAAGGCCGCTGCTGCCACACAACTCCCTGGCAGGGTGGCTGCTAGCATGGAGAAGTGCACCTGGCGTGCCTGCCACTCCCTGCAAGGCTCCACGCTGCTCTCACGGACACCCCGCCCACAGCAGCTTAGGGGATTAACCCAGTGGCTGCTCCAGGAGTGCAGGTAACCACCACAGGCAGCCAAGAAGGGCAAAGCATCCAGCAAGCAGGAAAGGACTTTCTTCTCCCAGCTGAAACACCTGCAACCTGCCTACAGCCACTGCTATCACCATGAAAAGCGAAAAACCTCTGGCCCAGTCCAAGATAGTTACACCTGAGAAAGGATCTTCAAAGGCAGACCTAACCAGTCTCCCTGAAAAAGAATTCAAAATAAAAATCATAAACATGCTGACAGAGCTGCAGAGAAATATGCAATAGCTAAGGGATGAAGTCCGGAGGGAGATTACAGACGTCCGGAGGGAGATTACAGACGTCTGGAGGGAGATTACAGAACAGAAACAAACTCTGGAAGGATTTATAAGCAGAATGGAGAAGACGCAAGAGACCATTGATGGAATAGAAACCAGAGAACAGGAATGCACAGAAGCTGATGCAGAGAGAGATAAAAGGATCTCCAGGAATGAAACAATATTAAGAGAACTGTGTGACCAATCCAAAAGGAACAATATCCACATTATAGGGGTACCAGAGGAAGAAGAGAGAGAAAAAGGGATAGAAAGTGTCTTTGAAGAAATAATTGCTGAGAACTTCACCAAACCGGGGGAAGAAATAGTTGCTCAGACTACAGAGACACACAGAACTCCCAAGAGATGGGATCCAAAGAGGACAACACTAAGACACATAATAATTAAAATGGCAAAGATCAAGGAGAGGGACCGAGTATTAAAGGCATCCAGAGAGAGTAAAAAGGTCACCTACAAAGGAAAACCCATCAGGCTATCATCAGACTTCTCAACAGAAACCTTATAGGCCAGAAGAGAATGGCATGATATATTTAATGCAATGAAACAGAAGGGCCTTGAACTAAGGATACTGTATCCAGCACGATTATCATTTAAATATGAAGGAGGGATATAAAAAATTCCGAGACAAGCAAAAGTTGAGGGAATTTGCCTCCCACAAACCACCTCTACAGGGTATCTTAGAGGGACTGCTCTAGATGGGAGCACTCCAAAAAAGAACACAGAACAAAACACCCAATATATGAAGAATGGAGGAGGAGGAAAAAGAAGGGAAAGAAATAATCGTCAGACTGTGTTTATAACAGCTCAATAAGCGAGTGAGGTAAGACAG